AACTATTTCATGAAGACATGATTGATCATCACAGTATACGGTCTTTGTGCCCATTTATAGGCAGCTGTGAAAGTTGCCTTTATACCTGTCTTTCTTCACAGTTCAAAAATATCTAGTCTTTCAATGTATTCACTTGTTTCCTTTTCATACTGGTAAATTCCAGCCATATGGTAATTTCTGTTAGGGTTTATTAATTTTAAAACATAATTCCTCTTGAATCCATGTTTAGGTGGTTGAATTTTGCCCACAGTTGAAGGGTCAACTGCATCATGTGAAAACTGCCCTGAGTATGTCCCTTGTTAACCGCCACAATTATTTGTGCCGAAGTGGCAAGATACGGGTGTGAAAATTTATTTCAATCTGTAGGTCATGGAAGATCTCAGTAACTTATGAGATACAAGAGTCAAACAGTAATTGGAGTCAATTTAATGCTTACTAGACTAATTTTAAGTAAATTGGCCACCGTAACGATTACAAAAACACCGATGCAGCCCCAAACAGTTTGGTGGTGGTGGTGAAAGTGATTGGGATTTGTGAAGGATATGTAGTGGATAAATGGTTAATAATATCTGTAATGTTGTTTTTGTCTGTCAACAAAAATCCGTCGTCGATGTATCTACAAAAAAGGAAAAGTCCAGTGGTGTCGCGTTCCGAAAAGAAAGTTAATTCCCTGAGCAGCAAGACCAGGTCAGCGATTTGCCGGCTGTGGTAGCTGCCCATAGCAACCCCTTTGATTTGTAACAAGGCTATTGTGGATTTAGTAAGGTAATTTGGGTTTTATCGACTGAGTTGATAACGAAAATTGGCCAACATTAAGAGTTTTAAATGGTATTAGTGATACCCACAGATCGACAATTACATCTAGGCTTGCCGTTTATTTAAGGATTTTACTCTGCTATACCCTCAAGTAAACGTGCAGCGAATCGGAGATGGAAATACGAAATCAGCGATGGCTCAAAGCAAATAGTCGGGCTCTCCGACAGTCTAAGTGAAGACGTATGACCTCGACCGTTTCAAGAATCACATAGTCATACTTATAGATTTCCATAGGTTTGGTTCCTAAGTTAATCAATCCTTTTATTTTCATTCGATTGTTATAGATTGTGCATAAACAGTAGCACTAATATCTTTAAGGCATGTTCGGCATGACTTGCTGACTTAGAAATAGGAAGGAACCCACCTGTTATTTAAAAGAATAATTTATAATTATGTAAAGAACCCAAAAGGCTCATTTGTAGAGTGCAGCCGTCCCACTGTTTGAGCTGATAAAGACTAGAATAAATCGTTTATTCCAGTTTCATCAAGTGCAACTGGCAATGGAAAGCCTTAAAGCATCTCTTTCAACTAGGAAACAGCAGAACGCTTACCAGACCCTAAATTATTGCCGTCTTGATTTTACCTGGAGAAATGATGGAGATTTCAATCCAGCCTTGTCACACCCTCCTGCTCTTTCATCTTTTGCTTTTTCAAGGCGCATTCTCTTCTGCAAATTCGTAAAATGCTATAAAAATCAGACAAGACTCCTTGTTAAGCTACAAAAGTAACCTGTCACTTCCTTCCCTCACATTTAAGGAAAATGAGACATGGCAGATGTAAAAAATAGATATCTAGGTCTATACCTATATGCATCCATAGATAATGATTTTGACACCAGTCAAGTCGACCAACGTTGGCGCAGACAAAATAGTCTCGTGAAAGAGGCTTGGTCATCCAGAGAAAAAACCAAAATAGCGCTGGATTTCGATTAAAAAGTGAAGGAGTAGTTTGTCACCCGTGAACATGATAATGACTCAGGGGAGACAATTTCGATTTTATTTCTGTAAAAAGATGAGTCAGTGGAACTTTAGCAGCTTCTCTTAATAAGTGAAAATGAGTTCAAGTAGAAATATTGTTTGGCATTACAATTGGTCTGTGAGGGGGTATGCTCACATCGATTGCAGGCTACTAAAGTTTTTCAACGACGAAAAGCGTGTCTGTGATTTGAATGTGTCATGCTTTTTCAACAAAATATATTTATCGCACTTTTTAATTAACTACGCCAAGTGTGCAATATCAGTCAAATGACTTTGTGTGTGTGCGTGTGTGTTTTGTTTAGTCGCTCGATGAGCAATATTTGTTTTCAGCATTTGAGAGTTGAGCTCGCATGCTTACAATCGTCTATCGATAGAGTCAAACTTTGCAAACAAAATAAACTGCATATTGATCGCAGTTTTTAATTAACTACGTCAAAGGTCAAATCAATCGAGTGACGTTGTGTATTTTTTTAGTCGTTCAATGCCTATTATAAGTCTCGACAGAGATGGTAACCGAACGCTATTTTAAGAGAGCCTTGTTATTTGCGCAGTAGTATTTGTTTACCATCTGGAAAGCTGTTCCCTAGACTGAGTTTTGCCATAAAACACTTTTTTTTTAAGAGAGAAGAGGTTCTAAATTGTCATCGTATGTCTGTGATCGATATTTTCGTGCTCGATGAAACTGAAATTTTTTTGATAACTCCCTTAGCCAATTTGATAAATGATGATGACTGATGGTTCGCCATACTGCAATTTGCTATTATTTTTGTGATCGCTATAATTCGCTTTCCCAGATAATTGTACTGTTTTCAAAGTTTTTTGCCTTACTTGCATGCACCATTTGACCGCAGAAGTGATTACTTATTAACTGAGGACTGCTCGGACCATATTTGGTAACGATCTGTCGAAATAAGACAATTCACTTGCCCAGATAATTGGGCTGTTTTCAAAGTTTCTTGCCTTACTTGCTTTACATGTCATGCACCATTTGATCGCAAAAAGTGATTAGGTATTAACTAAGGACTGTGCGGTCCATATTTGGTGACGATATGTCGAAATAAGACAATTGGCTCGCCGAGATAATTACTCAAATGTCACACACCATTTGATCGCAAAAGCGATTAGGTATTAACTAAGGACTGTTCGGTCCATAGTTGGTGACGATATGTCGAATTAAGACAATTGGCTCGCCGAGATAATTGCTTTACTCCCATGACATTGTTTCGTTGACTAAATAGGCGTTGCCTTGGAATGATCGAGTTTGGTTTGATCAAGATAAATGATTAAAATCTTGATTGACATTTGTTCACACATTCATCAAAAGAGATATGTCATTAAATTGTAAGTCAGTTTTAGCCGAACAGTTTTCGAAGTAACATTAGATTATTTTGTGCCCTCCTGTTAATACGCAAACCAGAATTTGTAAAGGAGAGGCTAACCCGTATTGCTTTATGAAGTATTGGCTGTTGTTAAGACCCGTCGAAGAAATCGAATAACTACATATTAAAGAATGGATTTAATATTAAAAGGTTTGGTCTTCCTGATGTCTGAGCTTACCTGTTCCTTGAGGAAACAGACATGTCATATCATTATCAAGTGATGACGTATTAGCTATGGACTGTACGGTCCACACTTGGTAAAAATATGTCGAAATGAGAAAGTTCGTTTGCGTATATAATTGTGCTGTTTTCAAAGTTTCTTTCTTTATTCTTTCTTGGCACCGTTTTCACTGCTTTGCACAGTTGTGCACCGCTTTACACACGCTTTGCGCCGCTTTGCACACGTTTTGCACCGCTTTTGCTCCGCTTTGCACAGTGCACTGTGCAAAACGAAGCAAAATGATCCAAACAATGAACTGACTAACAGGGAATGGACAATGATCAAAAAATAAGTTTCACTGATCGATCAAACATACGTATACACACTATCAACATCTTAAAATTTAGTTTAAATTGGAATAAAACTCTACTCTCTAAAAATGTTTCGCTCCGACGAAGGGCTAACGCTCGAGACGTCAGCTTTTGTAATCGTTACGGTGGCTAATTTACCACTTCAACTTTGTTGATATATCCAAATTATTCTCTAAAAATGGTATGACTTTTGATAGCAAAGAACGGTAGTATGACGCAAGTGCTATAAACAGTCAACAATTTTGCAAAGCTGTGAGCTTTCATTTCAAACTTCCTACTTTCCGTTTCCCCAACATCAAAGTCCCCTCTACTAACTATGGTAAAATGTTTTGAATTATGGTTGCTAAAATAGATGGTTGCAAGGAAGTCTGGTCGTTAAGAGAGACAAGGTAGATCATAAAGACCTGGGGGTACGCAGGAGCGACACATCGGGATGATTTAGTTTTATCAACTGTTGATCATGTAAATCAGCCAACGCAAAGAGTTTCGAAAACTTGAAATTCTTTACGGTGGCCGATTTACATCATCAACTGAGTTGCGAAAGAAAGATTACCTTATTGAAACCAATTCAATGAAAGCGTGATTACTGCGACAGTTGATCGAGATGCATGACAATCGAACTTTTTTAACAATTGATCGCGTCAAATATATTGATACAGGTTAGAAGCGTCAGAAAAATTTCTCCCTGTGAAATGATTAACACAAAAATGCGAAATTTGAACAGGGTAACCTAGGGATAGAGAAAAAGGTTACCACTATTAGGTAGATCCTAACAACTACAACGATACGTCTCATTTCCATATGAAAGTGAAAGAACTATACTGACTACACGAATGAGAACTGAACTTTCTCAAAAGTCGATCAAGTTCATCTATACTGAAACCTGAAAGAAGCTTCAGAAAAGTTAACCCGATAAACTGTTTAAATCAGATCAGTGAAAGTTGTTGAGGAGTAGATAAGGATGAAAGAATCAAGCGTCATTACAATGGGAACCCTAACATCTACAGGAATATTTTATATGGTGATTTTTACGCAGGAATGTCTGGTTTGAATAAGAATATGTAGATAGTATTACTTGTATTCGCAAACAGAAATCCTAGTTCAGTGTGCTACATATGAGTTGACTTATATGTAGCACATATGAGTCAACTAAGTTCTTGAACTCAATTAAGTTCTTGAACTTGCTAAAAACACATCCAAGAAATTCCGTGATCTTAAGAGTCAACAGCATAACACCTACCGTTGTGGGTCGCCTATAATCGGGAATACTTGTAGGCTTCTCATCGAAACCTCCAACATACATACGTTGAGACTGAGTTGCCATTGAGACTCCTTTTGAATAGTATTAGATGGTTTTTCCTATTGCTGAAACAGCGATCAAACAATTAGCTAAGGGAAGCGTGTCCTTGGTAGTAAAAAATATGAAAATTAGTCAAGCGAATTAATATCCCGCAGGTTCATCACGTTTCTTTTAGCCATAATTTCCATGGTTTCCATAATATATTCATAAATCGAAAAATTCACCCTCCTTTTCATTGGACTTTTCCTTTTTTCTCTCGCTGTCTTCTGTTTTTGTTTTTGTTTTTTTATTTTTTAGTTTTTGTTTCTCTTTTATTGTAGGCAAACATCAAGGTTTCTAAGTGGAATAAAGTTTAAACAAAGACTGACCTCAAACTTGCAATGACACAATTCCTCTTTAGCTATTGTTCCTATCCTTCCTACCTCAAGTGGAATGTCGAATATGTCGGTCGGACCTGCTGGAAAAGCAGCCATGGCAACGAAAACAGCCACACGTCCTTCTAACCATGTCACCAGAAACAGTCAGGGGCCGCGAGACGCAAACGAAGGTTTTGAAATTTACATGCACGAGAAAGTGTACCAGGCAAGCGGCTGGCGGCAAACGGGCTAATTGCACCTGCCTAGGGAAACGATCAAATTTCAGAAGGCAGGATTGGTTATCTCTGCATGTTCATACACCGAGAATAATATAATCATATGTGCATATACAATTTGCATGTACAGTTTGTCGCGCAATACAATTTGCTTGATTCTGCTCTCGAGGATCCCTCTTATATGGAGGCTGAGAGCATCATGAGCAAGTACATCCATGACATTGTACGCGGAATCGACAAAGAAAATGAAAGATTGAAAAAAAGTGTCCTGGATTTTTATGAAAAACTTCTGATACCTGTTAAAGAATTGATCGTTCCAGACAAATTGCGAGTAGAGACAAACAAAAGACTACAATGTTGCTTTAAAGACATCTACTGGAGTTTAAAAGTTCATGTAATGTTCTACCGCAGAATTGATAATAAGCGAATGAAGACTGAAGATAAGGTGAGCAATCTCGGTATACCATCACCAAGACAGACGAAACAGTTTCGAAACCAAGAAACTGCAGTCCACCCTAAAACCAAATCCTCAAAAAAGGTGGGTAGAGAAGCGACTAAAAATAAATATAAAACCATCGGTCATTAACAAGTGTCCCAAATTTCGAGTTTCCATGCTTTGCCATTTGCAGATAAGCAGCATCGAAAGGAAGTCGCCGGAGATAACTGACGACCTCATCGATAAGACCCTCAAAAATGTGGGTTACTTGGGCGGTCTAACAGATGAAGACATGATTGTAACAGATGCACAGATGAAGGACCTACCGAGCTGCGATTTGTTTGAAAAACTCATCGATCCTGGAAGCAAACTCCTAGAAATGGTGAGTAGAGGGGAAGTGAAAAATATACATTACACACCGGCTAACTGCAAGTATCCCTGTTTCCAAGTTTTACTGCATCGTCATTTGCGATTGGTTAAGATGTAGTATGCCGCGCTTTGAAACGCAATAAGTTAAAAGGAATAATCAGGCATGATAAAGCTGTCCTAGGCAACAAACTAGCTAGCTTATGCCCGGAATCTATTCAGAAATAGATGACGATTACGTTCTGAGAAGTAAACATAGAATGCAAATTTTGTGTAACAGGCATCGCTTTCTACGCAAACGCTCTTCAGGGTCGTCACGCGTTCTTGCTTTTCACCCCTAAAGGTAGAAGTAAAAACTAACCAACCACACGTGCAAAAAAAATAACGATGAAAACTGGAAACGCCTGGCAAGACTCATTTATTACCACTGCACCTTTTTGAACATCCACCACTTTCTTCCACGACTTCCCGTGAAGATAGAGCTTCTTAGTCTTATGAGGTAATCCGTTTAAGAGAAGCACACTCTAAGGGAATACCTACGACCCGCAGAACTCGCAAAGCCATGGTAGGTGAAGGTCGGGTGTAAAAAGTGGGTTCATCTCAGCGCACACTACACTTCATCCAAAAACTTCACTATGCAGGCCCGAAGGACACATCCACGACCAGGTTCGCCAGCATTTCTAGGCCATGTAGCGATGGGAGAAGGGCAAAAGAGGTAAGTGGAAGATTTTACTGGAAGCCATAGCCCCAATCATTCAGGCAGGTTGTTCAGGATTTTGGTCGTCTCTCGGCAGCGCCCTGAAACCACGTAGTCATCCAATTGCACAAAGATCAAGGAGACCGAGTTATACTCATGAGGAATATCTTTGAGCCTTTCTCAGTTATCAACGGAATGAGGCAGGGTTACGTCCTGGTACAGAATCTCTTCATCACCTGTCTTTAAATTGATACTAGGCAGACCACTGTACATCTAGATGACGAGGATGGAGTTTACCTCAGACACCGTCTCGATGTTTGCTTGCCCACACAACTGGAGCAGTTGATCCAGCGATGCAGCAGTTGTCGCCTATTCAGAGAGTGATTTGCAGCGCATCACTTCCTGCTCTGCAAAGGCTGCCCAGCTCTTCAGATTGGAAGTTATTCTGAATAAAGGACAAAAGTCCTCCTTCCGCGTGTATACCAGAAAGAGTAACTTGCTCTTCATATCTCAGTCAGCGAACCTGGCCAACAATTAGTCCCGCCGACGGGTTATCTACCAGGGGTGCTTCATTTCATCAAATACCAAGATTGACAGGGAAGCTGGCGACAGGCTGGTAAAAGTGAAGTGTGCCTTTGGTAGCAAGTGCAAATGTGTGTGAAACAACGATGAATTGAAAAAGAGCACTAAGATCAGCGTTTACTAGGCCGTTGTCCTCACCACCCTCCCGTGCGGCGCGGAGTCTTGGGTAACCTGCCGTTATTACCTGCGACTCCTTGAGTGCTTTCACCAACGCTGTCTCCGTATCATCCATAACATCTACTGGGGTGCCTTCAGGGTGGAGGGCTATCGCCTCCTCAAGATCTCTCTGTATGGCGAACTATTTTCTAGCTACCGTGCCATGGAAGCACCAAAAGAGCGATGTGCGATCTGTGTAAAGAAATCCCTTGGAACCTATTAAATAGACCGTTAATGGTCTGATTTAGCTGCGGATCGCGATGATATCACGCCATCAACCATGTAGTCACCTACAAAACACCTGTAGAGCACCATGACAACTAAAAGGCAGATAGTTTGGGCACTTGGTGACATAATATAATCCTTCTTCATCTTCATCTGCTCAATGTAAAACAGACCAAATCCAGTAGCGAAGAGTCGCTTAACAGAACTTTGGCATGCGACATAACACCCGAAAATGAAAAAGAAGGTTTTTGCCATTCTGATCTTAAATAATTTGCTCCTCGTCAGATCAAAATATCACGACATCTATTAGTGCTGCTTGTTTCGGCTGTGTTTAAGATCAATTTTTCCTCACGCTGATACTTATTCTCCCGAAAATCGTTCGGTGCATAAAATAGTGATGAAGATGACGCTATTTAAGACACGTGACTATAAACACTCGTCACGCTTTGTACCTTAGTTCTGACTGGCTAAGATGTTCATATTGCTTTGAATTTACCAGACACGCTTTGATGTTCACCACTTTGATATTCAGGGTGGAAAAATCCGTGGTAATAAGGCAGGTCTTAAATGGATGAAAAACCAGGCATGGTATTCAGTAATGATACCCACCGGTCGATAATTATACCTTGGCTTGCCGTGTATTTAAGCATTTTCCTCTGCTGTACGCTCGTGTAAACGTTCAACAAATCATAGAGATTTGAGATCAGTGATGGCTCAAAGCAGATAGACGAGCACTCCAATGGTCGGCGTAGAGACGAGTAACCTTTGACCGTTTCGAGCGTCACGCAGTCATACTTATAGACTTTCAAATGGATGGTTCTTAAGTTAATTAGCCCCTTTGTGTTGTTGCATTTCAGTTCCGCGTCGTTGCAGCATCACCAAAAGGTACTCCTCGAGAAAGAAGCATCCAAACAGGAAGTAAGGATCATGCCGATCGAGTACTACAGATGGCTCGAAGCTTTCTACGAACACTTAATGACAACAACACCTTCCTGCCAAAAGTTTTAGCAAAGGTGTCGCGAGAAGAAAATTCTTGTATCGGTGCTTCAATAGCAGTAAGCCATTTCTTAAGGCCCATGTATTTGTACAATAGAGTCATTAATCACAAAAAGAGTCTCGGAGAGGCAATTATAAAATTCCGTACCTTAAATATTTCCGATGCGCGAAACTGGAAATTTGAGGCATTTGTTAGGAAAACCGTAGAAATTCAAGAAAATGATGAAAAAAAAACCACCAAACAGCATGTAGGCCCCAGAGACCTTTGTCAAAATTGCAAAATGATTTTTCGTGGGGACAAGTCAGGAAAGGGAGGTCCCTCGTTTCTAGGTGCATGTGCAGAGTATTGTCCTGTTGACGAGCTTCTTCCCGATGAATCGAAGTTAAAAGACTCACGTAATGACTCAGTGATCGACCACCTTCTGACGAGAAACCTTTCTCGATGCTCTATTCTGTTTGAAGAGTTTGAAAATATTTACGAAAGATGTAGATATGTTACAGTCTCGGAAAATGATAAAGAAACAGAGGCAATATACTGGGAGGTAATACATAAATTATACATTTTTGGTCTAAAGCCAGAATGTAATCCTTACTTTTAACTTTCTTTCGGTCCTTTTGCTACGAGTAATTAACATCATCAAAATTTGTCAAAGCCTGTCAGTAAAAGGGGTCATGAGCCGTTAATTGTTTCAAAAACTGAAATGTTTTCTTTTGAATAATGCAAGTATATCTGATAATCAATCCGTCATGCTTTATATCTTATTCACTTGAATGAACTGAGACTGTAAAAAGATAAAAATGTTTACATGGGGGACTCATAAAAAACGATGCTTTATGAATCTTCCTGAGAGATGGGTGTTCCACAAGAAAATTGATAATTTTCCTTTGCATTAATGTCAACTTTCTGGTATAGAAGAGAGCAATAAATTCTTTTTCATCGTTAAATTGGTAAATCTTCGCTTGATTAATATTTTGCTCTTCGTGTTCTCCCATCTATACGAGTTTTTTTGCCTTTTACGTTGTTGTTTCAGTTGTCACATGTGCAATAGTGAAGATTGTGGAAATAATAATAATGATACTAATAATAAGAATAGGATAACTATAATTTTTACTGCTGTTTAAGCTATGGAACGCATTCTTTTTCCGGGCTCTCTAACGTGATAAAGCCTTTGGGATTTTGGGAGAACTCTCGGAAAGCTCATAAATCACGAACCGATGGCTAAGTATCCGCTTGGAAATTGAACTAACCAATCAGATGATGCTTACTTTGTTCATTGTGTTATAAATCTAAGTAGTGTCTAGATTTACCTGTTGAAGTTACAAGAAAAAGATCAGAAGAGATTTGTTTTCAATGTAAAGTCTCTCTTTTCAAACATTCATTAAATTGCAAAGACTATTGCAAAATATTAAAATCAAAGAAGCTGGTGTTGAATTCGGTTTATGAGACTTTCTTTCTTAAGAGAAACCATTTTCACGTGTATAGGAAAGCTGAGAAGATCACAAAATGACACAACAAAAAGTTTTTCCGCTAGTCTATTGAGGAATTCATAAAAGTGCTTCTAGATTGCGGTGATAGATGCAACAGTCAACTGTATTACCAAGGCACGTTGTTATGATCCTTATACACTCTATCACCTCTGTCAATCTTCTAAAGTTGTATCTTGTACTGAAATCTGAACAGTAAAAAATTATTAAATGACACGACCAAGTGGCTCTCAAAATTATTGGCTGTTTGAATATCAGGGTGGCATTGTTTAAGGCACTTTGGGTTCGGTCAACCTTTCGCAAGCACGTAACCATATACCCCTAATCACCCCAACCAACTTTGATACTCTTTTCTTCAAGAAACAGGTGAATACCTGAGAAACCACATTATCCGCATAAAAGCTTTCATATTCCGCTTAAGAGCGAAACAGTAAGCTTAATTCCTGCAACAACTTTTGGTATATTCTGCTACTCTCCATGCCATTGAAAAGAATAGTGACGACCGAAAGAATGTGGTGATGAAACAACTATGAAATCTACTCACTTAATGAAGGTTGTTTCTCACCATTTCTTTCATGTTTTCCATAAATATCCACGAGCTAAATATACTGCAATTTTTATCAAAGTGTTTGTCTCATCTAAGCTGTTCTGTTACGGTGAACGGATTGATCCAATCATTTTGAAAAGTTAATAATTAGTTGTCTCTATTCTAAAACACATTCACTCGCTCACTTTTACAACAATGGCAATTCCAGTTCGAACCCTAAGCCCTAGCAGTTTTCCGTTTTCTCAAAAACAGACAAGATACAAAAGGATCGCAGTCTACGATTTTTAACTCCTCCATTATGACAAATCATAGAAATGTTTTTATGGTTAACTTTTTCGCGGCAAGGGGTTGAAGTTTGTTAATTTTTACACTTAATGACTAAATTTTGAAATTTTTTATCGCTGTCTTTACAATGATGTGAAAGGATTTTCATGACAAAAAAGCATTTCAGGGGGTTTGTTTATTTGTAGTTCAGACGGAGTTACAAAAGGCATTCCTCTGCCTTTCTAACTGGAGTCACTATCATGCACTTAACATCTGCTCCTCAGAGGAACAGTTCGTTCGGTTTTCCTTCAAGTTTCAACGCTGAAATTCAATACATACTTACATACATACTTTATTGATGTTCCCTAAGTGGGTTTTTCAGCTCAATAGAATTAAAAACTACAAATTTAGAATTTAAGTCAATTAAGGATAGAAATACAATAAGATCGTAAATTACAAAAATATGTCATCAACCTAGTAAGACATTCGCAAAATGACGCCTAAAAATTCTTGGGGCACTTTAAGGATTTCATATTATCAATCAGAGTTCCAGAGTTTGGCTCCTCTGAAAGCAAAAGCCAGTGAGAGTGCTGCCCTGTTGATAGGCGACATAAAGGTATATCCAAAGCACCAGACGATCGAGTTTGTCTATTATGGACTTGGGAACCTAGTTTGAACATATCAGCAAGATAGTTCGGAACAAGTTTATTAATACAGTTATGCAAGATAGTAGCGTCGTTTAAAATAAGTTTCTTTCTAATAGGAAGCCATTTCAGTGATCGCAGTCAATCCGAAATATGGTCATACTTTCTTAGTCCCAGAATGATTCGTCCAGCGAAATTTTGGACTCTTTGTAACTTGTCAATATTGCTGTTGCTGGTATTACTCCAAACAGTTAAACAATACTGAAGTCTACTAAAAACTAAGGAATTTATTACTAACAAAAGCGTTTTCCTATCCAGGATATGCTTGATTCTGCTGATTTGCATCAATTTAAAGAGACAATTCGAAGCTGTCTTAGTGATATGTTCGTTGTAACTGAGGCGTGGGTCGAGAAGAACACCAAAATCCTTAATAACAGGCACAGGCGTTAATTCTTTATCAAATAGTGGTACACTAAATGATGATAGTCTCTTCAAAAGTTGTGGTACTCCAACAGCTAGAACTTTGCTTTTGTCTGGATTGATCAAGAGGGAGTTTTTACAGCAACACAGAGATACTCTCATAAGATCTTCGTTCAAGGCAAAGATAGACGTGGTTAATTCAGCAGGTGAAAAGGACAAGTACAGTTTGCAATCATCGACATAGGAGACAGATAGACAACGTTTAGGAACAGAAAGGAGGTCGCTAACGTAAATTGTAAACAGAACTGGACCTAAAATAGAACCTTGCGGAACTCCGAACTCGAGTGGGAGTACTTTAGAGACTGCATCACCAATTCGAACGCACTGTTGTCGGTTAGAAAGGTGACTCTGAAACCAATGCAACGCACCCTGTGAAAAGTCGAAAATTTGTAGCATGGATAACAAGATGTCATGTCGAATGCTATCGAATGCTTTGGACATATCTAAAAAAACCATGATGGAGACTTTCTTGCTATCCATACTCATAGCCTTGGGCTACTCAGCTGTGTTTTCGAGAAGTGGCAGAGAGAGAGCGTAAAATGGTCTGGAATGGCAAACTTTAGCAACCTCAGTCGTGCAAGATTGAATTACCAGGTAATAATTAATCAAAGAAAACTAACTTTGAATGGTGTTATTCCTTTTTCCTACGGGGATTCCCAATCCATTAAACTTCATCTTGCATTAGCTTTTCGTTGCGTAGCATAGAACGTATAAATGAAATTTTCCATCGCAGCTCAAGGTTTGGTAGTCAGTCCGTGGTAACAAGGAGGCATCTATGTATGGCATGTGCTGCGCCTGAGGTCTTAAGAATTACCCTTTCAAGACAATCGATGATGTGAATCCTTTTTAGTCAGAGGACTATAATGCAGTAAACTCCACCACAGAAACCATTAAGTGAAGATGATACCGCTGATTTTTATTCGCTTCACACCAACGTGAACGGTAAGCGAACGAAAAGAAAATGTGCTAACAATTGCCAAAATTTAAACTGATGGTAGTAAAAGCCACCACCCCATTGAGGTCCTCTAGAGCTACTGCAGCTCCCGCTCTTACATTCCAAGGGAGAAATTTACCAACCTCAAGAAGGTAGATTATGCCTTAGGATTAGGGTCGACTCCTTTGGGAAAGCAGCGCACGCATCTGTGCTGTTGGCCGAATAATAGCGTTTATATTTCAATTTCTGTCTACAATTGGATCTTGTAAGGTTTATTAAGGATTTAATTAGGTTTTCTTTCTGGAGGATTCACTCACAGATTTTATGCAAACACTGTACACGGACGCCTCCGTAGTTTGGTCAAGTAAACACTTGAAAATCTTCCGCTTTAAGATATGATATGAATTGAAAAGGCTTATAGTTTTTATATTGCTCTGCTTGTTAAGCGATGATATAAAAAAACGACCCAGGATGGTTACTTATGACACAGAATTACGTATTCTTCTATACCGGCCTTCGATTGTACCGATTCAAATAGATCATAATCCTTATTATGAAGAACAATTGGCGAAAGTCTGTTTCGCCATCAAAACAGGATGAAACTTTAATGGCTGTTGATCTAATAGTGTATTTGGCTGTCCTTTACAAGGTATTTAGCTCTATTTCCATACAGTACATCCTTTAGAAACATGATTAAAAGTTGGCAAATAGCCGGAATACAGTATTTGGATCTCGCCGCGAGAACATGTGATATTAGATAAAACAAAGAATATCATTACATAAACAATAAAACAACATTTACATAAAATGCCGCTTCCAGACAGAGCTGGATAACGTATACGCATGCGCTAGGTTTTCCGCGGAAACACAGATTTTGAGTCGTTCGCATGGTTGATTTCCTATTCTGTTGCTTCGAAGCGTCGTTTTCCTTGCCGCTTTTCTTTTACAGAACAACCTCCAAAATCTTGGTAAGAAAATGCCTTCGACGAAAACAGAGTTCCTCTGTTTTAAAAGTCAGCCGTTAATATTTTCCACTAATGTCGCTAAATTTTAGACCTAGGACACTTGAGCCCGCGTTGTTGACCGTATACCCTCTGACGTAGCATTTCATTATTCAGCTCTGTCCCGCTTGCATGGTTTCTAATTTCGTAGCATTGGGTGCTATTTGAGTTTGAAGGCAGTTTTTGTTGTTATGGCAAAACTCCTGGATGTAAATCACTCGTCTAAAGGCGGACATAAAAGGTACGCACGACGCAATTGGCTCCGTTTGAAAAGCTTATTATTGATTGCTTCCGAGTATTGGACCTGTAATGTAGCTGTTATCTGCCCCCTATCTAAAATTATAACATAACCAAATTAAATCGTGCCTTCTGATTGGTCAATTCGGCGTCCACAACTTGCCCATGGGTGTACGCTGCTGACGTGAGCAAATGCGAAGACAATTTTCTGAGCACGCTTGTTTTTTCTGGTCACGTAAGATTTTTTAAATTAAAAGTAACCTCTTTCTCTACAATGTATCAATGTTATGTTATAAAACAAATGGCAAACGCCACAGCGTGCACTATTGAGTTAAGGATACACTTGGGAGGTTTGCTAAGCACTCAAGAAGCTAGAGTCGCTCTCGGCTGTAGCCTCGCGTGACTCTTGCACTTCTTTCGTGCTTAGCAACCTCCCAGGTGCATCCACAACTCAGTTGCCTTCTGAGAGCGATCATGTTTGGTAAAGATGTTTTAATTTTGAAAGTCACAAAGATAACGATGACCAAAACTTATCCGCATGATAAATGCCGATCCCTTTCTGGATGAGAAAGAAACAAATTTGTAGCGTTTACTGTCATGCGTTCGAGCATTTTCAAGCGGATAGCAAACAAAATTCCGCATTCTTAGAGAATGCACCGTTCCCGCTTTCGCAAGTCACTTGCCAGACACAGACCAGCCATCTTTCGATAGTGTGATGAAAAGCAGTTCGCTCCATAAACTTAACGAAGGATCTACCCCTCACAGAGGTTTTTTTTTCCTCCCTCCGTTTCAAAAGATTAAAGTGTAATGAATAATTACCAGTAAGATAAGAGGATGGAGAAGGACATAAAATAGCAATCTAGTTAGATACCCTTTACCTTAAATCAAACTTTTTCTTACAGTAAAAAGAAGCGATACAATGAGATATGAGATGTAAGATAGTAATATAATATACAAATATAAGAGAGGGAATAGGAATCACACCTTAAACAACAAATATGTAAATAAAACATGGTCAGAGGAAGACATTAATTAGTACTGAGAAAGCTAACGTGAGAAAAGTGCTATTTTAACATTTTTTTTATAGTGGGCTT